GACTGATCCTGGGTTCTGGAGGACTGATCCTGAGTTCTGGAGGACTGGTCCTGGTGGTTCTGGAGGACTGATCCTGGGTTCTGGAGGACTGATCCTGAGTTCTGGAGGACTGGTCCTGGTGGTTCTGGAGGACTGATCCTGGTGGTTCTGGAGGACTGACCCTGGGTTCTGCAGGACTGATCCTGAGTTCTGGAGGACTGATCCTGGTGGTTCTGGAGGACTGATCCTGGGTTCTGGAGGACTGATCCTGAGTTCTGGAGGACTGATCCTGGTGGTTCTGGAGGACTGATCCTGGGTTCTGGAGGACTGATCCTGGGTTCTGGAGGACTGATCCTGGTGGTTCTGGAGAACTGATCCTGGTGGTTCTGGAGGACTGATCCTGGGTTCTGGAGGATTTCATTTCACTGAAAACCTGAGATGAACAACTTAAAGGAGAAAAAAATGCGCTCCACCTTAAAGGCCACTAGAGGGCAGCATCTGGCAAAAAAAAAAAAAATCTGCTTCTACATTTACTTATCAAATTATGTAGATCATTGCTGTTTTTATCTTTTTATTTTGACATGTTTCAAAGTCCTCTTATAATCACATCATATTTATCTTTTAAGGTCTTAATTTTTAAACCATTTTAATATTTTTTTATGCTGGTATATTTTTCTAATAATTACTTAAGGGCCCACTGATCATTGATGTTCTACTGGGGTCCTCCTGAGGCCCCTGACTTTGCTGCAGCAGAGCGTCATTTTAGAGACGAGCTGAAAGGAAAAGGGCATAAAAACTGGAAGGTCATGTTCTGTTCTGCCCCGAGAGTCCGATGAAGATTGGTACCAGCTCACAGGAACCATGGACTCAGGAAAGACAAGTGAATAAACATCAGCCATGATATAAAGTCTCATTTTGTTAAATTGGCTCTCAGAGGAAGCAAAGTGGACACTGGGCTCCAACAGGCCCAGCATTTAATGATTAATGTTCGTGAGGCTCGGTCCTGCCCCCCGAGGGGATGAAGGTCATCACAACATGACCTCATAACAGCAGTAATAACAGAAGTGGAGCATCCACCTTCCTGGAGACCAATTCAAGGCAGTTCCCATTAAACGGTTTCATATAAAATAATATACCTTAATAAAAACTGATCCAGTGGTGTTAGGATCTGGAAAACATGGATGAATACCTGCCTGTCTATCAGGTGGACCACTAGAACCAGCCTGAGAGCCAGAGAGACAAAGACAGAGTGTCTGCTGGGAGATGGATGGATGAAGGGATGATTCTGTATTCAACGAGCCGCAGCCTGGCAGGAAAAATGATCCATCTACAGGAAGCTCTGCAGACTGTGGCTGGACCATCCTGCAGCTCAGAAATAAAAACGGCTCAGAGCCACACACTCAAAATCTGGAAGAATGGACTGTCCACTTGTCTTTAAATGTTGGAGCAGTCAGAGACACATGAGTCAGCGGATAATTCAGGACCAGGGCTGCGTGCTGTGAAACGTTTCATCTCCCTCCAGTTTGATGGATAATCTAAATATAACGGACTGATTTCCTCTCTTTAAAGCATGACTATAGATGTGAAACAGAACAGAGAATGAAACCTAAAGCTGCATCAGAGCCTTCAGGGTTCAGTTCAATGAAATGTCAGAACAGCTTTAAATATATAAAAAAAAAAAGATTTTGTTGACCAAACTTATTATTAGCCCTGGATGTGAACAGAGACTTGGCTTTATGTGCAGAGCAGAACCAAGCTTTTCCATGATATTTTAGACAGCTTTAGGGTAACAGTTCTGACCTGCTTTGCTGCTTCCAAGGATGAAGAATATGATTTTAATTTGATTAATAAAGATCTGAGACAGAATCGGCTTCTCAGATCTTTGATGAAGACCTGGTTCTGATTGAAGAGGGATGGATGGATGGATGGATGGATGGATGGATGGATGGATGGATGGATGGATGGATGGATGGGTGGATGGATGGATGGACGGACGGATGGATGGATGGGTGGATGGATGGATGGGTGGATGGATGG